AAAAAAACAGCTAAGCAGACGAGTTTGTACGTCAAATGATGAAAGAGAGCAGATCCAGTTAGTCACAGCAAAAGCTGGGCCCTTAGTTACGTGTAAGAGAGAAACGGGACTAAACACTAAAAACATGCCCAACTCTATCGTCTATTTCTAATCTGTATTTGTGAATTCATAATTGTTGTTTATAATTTCAGTTTGGTATTTATGGATTTGTGATAATACTCGACATTTTTGTGAATTGTTGGTTAATTAGCGACTCATTCTTGTAAACTGAGGATTTAAACCTGCATTGTTACAAACTTTGCATTTTGAACACTTCAACCTGATGTCGCTCGTATGTCTGAATCTTAAATTCATTCACATTATTTAATTTTATTTATAAACTCTTCTTTACATAGATTTTGTCGACTATTATTTCACCCCATAGGGACGGCGTCCATCTCCACTCCAGCTGCAATAAAACCTGCGTCTCTAAATGAGTGAGCCTGACAGCAAACACTTTACTCACTTATTGGCCATCATCTTACATCTCTCCATCATCTCTGTGAGAAGTTGCTGATGTGGGAACAAAGATGAGAGAAAAAGAGTTGGTCATCATGTTGGAAACGCTTTGATTTTTCTCTGCTGCACCTTCATCAGAGTCCAGCAGGTGGCGTACCTCTGGAGCTCTGTATGCGATACACTGCAGGATCCAGCTGATGGCGGGTGAGTAGAGCGTCAGGTACATCGGTACCTCCACCCTCTGGACATGCAGCTGCCTCTGGACGCTGTCTCCGCTGATCTGCCGGAAGGTGGCCAGCAGGTCGAAGAAGTTTGCGTTCAGGCTCTCCTTCAGGTGGGGCGCCACCTCCATGCCCACCTGGATATGGCGGCGGCATTAAGTCCGAGCAGAAGAATGGAAGGGGAGCAATAAAAATTAAGAGGGAAGGCGACTCACCCTGCAGAGGTAAGCTCTGGCGTAAGCAGCAACAAGAGGGTCGCCGATCCCACGGATCATGGCGGTCAACCGAGGCAGCGTCTCCTGGATTCCTCTACGGACGAACGGCGACGGGTTACATCACAGACCTTCATCCTAAACAGACAAGCTTAAAGGAGACTTACGATCTGCTGAGGAAACGGTTGCACTTGAGAATTGCAGCTTCAACGTATCTGAGCGCAGAGGTTAAAGAGTCACAATAAGAAGTTGAACAAAGATGCTCTTTGGTTTCCAAACAAAGATCATTAGGAGGTGAAACTGTGAGGTGAGTGGAAGCAAAGGATACAGTCTGGGCAGCAGCTCTCTGATGGAGGCGATCTTGAAGAACCAGTTCAGGCACGTCTCTTTGGCCGTGTCGTTCACATCCTCAGCTGTGAACGAGTCTGAGGCAGGTATGGAGTGAATTATGCTCCATTATTGTTGTGGAAAATATCAGGTTTAGTAAATGTAAATTTGAAAAAAACAAAACAAAAAAAAAAACAATCCAAACCAAAAATGAAACTTAATCAGTAAAAAGACTTGAGAGTAACTTCACTATTTTCTCAGATTTGATCTCTTTCTAATTTATGATAAATATTTTTTATATAATTGTTTTCTTTTTTTCCACATGAAATAATATGTTTTATATTTAATCATTTTATTTTGTTTTTAATTCCTCCTTTTCAGATTGAATTGTATGAATCTTTTCTAATCAGGTTTTCTAAATCACAATTACTGAAAGTCAATTAAAAATTCTTGCTCTTGACCAATAAAAATGACCGAAAAAGAGAATTTTGACAGAATAATTTCAGATATTAAAGGAACAGCACTATGCTGGTTTAAATCTGATTTATGCAGACAAAACAGAAGTTATAGTCTATAGTCTTTGGACCAAAGTCTGCTTCTGTCTCCTTGAACCCCAGT